TTAGTAGTAGTAGTAGTAGTAGTAGTAGTAGTAGTAGTAGTAGTAGTAGTAGTTGTTGTTGTTGTTGTAGTTTGTGTATGTTCTCCAAATTTGTTTGACAAATCAAAACCTCTCAGGTTGAGAAAAACATCCCCACACAAGGCATGGTGGTGGCAGCATCATGTTGTGAAGATGTTATTTTTTAATAGCTGAATGGAACAGAATATATGGCAGAAGCTGAATGTCCTCATGTTGCTAGTCAAAGATSAGACCTCAGTCCAACTGAGATTCAATGTGATTCAGCAACATCCATCCAATCATATAAAACAGGTACATTGTTTTAAATTCCAGATCACAAGGGTAACAAAACAGAACTAATGCCAAGGGGGTGGATACTTTTGCAGCACACCATATTAACTCCAACTGTGAAGATGTGCTTTGATTTCCAACATGAAGCGAAATTATCTGCGGCGCCACTAATCAGAATAATCCCAGTGTTTTATTAGTCAGTGCAGGTTGCTAAACACTGGAACAAACCCTGAAAAATACATAGCATGCCTGCAGGCCTTATTTCTCTATCAGTTAATGGTCATGAGTATGGACCAGCTGCAGCTCGTACTTAATTCATTAGATAACCCTGGAACATCTTGCTGAACCTCAGCTCAAACATATGCACAGGCAGGACAAAATTTCAAGCTTTAACTTGTTTATTTCAAACATAAATCTCTGCCATGGAGTCATTTTAAGTCACCTGTACAGACGTGTGTATCAAAACATGAAACGAGACGAATGACTGTTTCTAGTGTTGCACAATATTTTGAATTTTATTACAAATTCAATGAATAATGTCAATCTGATCTCTTTCTAAAGTCTCAGTGAGGGGAAAAAAACTAAACGTTTTAATTAACTTTAAAAAACTTCCACAACAACATCTTTTAAAATGCTTTTAAAAAGAATGAAGTATTTAAACATTGGAGGAAACTGTAAGCATGTTTATTCATTATTATTCATAAATCAGACGTTTACAATCAGCGTCATCAGCTGAGCGGAGCTTCCAGGACTCCTGTGAGCTTCTGCAGGGTAAAGTGCTTGGAGCTAATGGATACATGGCTGCTAACAAACTGATCTGAGCCATTAATCCAGAGGTTTCCCAGCCCAACTGTCTGACTCTGAAAACTGTCAGCACATGTAGACAGGCTTGATTTGGAATATGTTTTTTTTTATTGCAGAGCAGGGATTAATTGTTCTGAGCAGGATTGTCTTAAAACACATTCAGTCCTCTTGATAAAGTAGATGTGATCAAAATAAAATAAAAAGAATAAAGACAGCTGATAAGTTAGTTAAGAGCAAAGCAGAATAACCTTTATTTTATTGTTTAGTTCAAGCATTAGAAACTCAGTTACACAAAGTACTTTAAGTTAATATTTCTTTATCAAATAAGCAAATTTAACAAATGGGATAAAATCAAATTATTCTAAAGTCAAAAAATCTAAAATAGCTTATCTTTTTTTGATCAAAGTCTTTTTTTATTATTTTTTAACATAAACCACACACACACACACACACACAAAAAACTAACTAACAAAAACACAAACATCCGAAATCCCTCCCATCCCACCCCRTCCTATACRGGATCTACTGAAACAACAWAAATCBATCTTGTATTCATACAACAGTGATACAATGKACAGGTTTGTGTACAATGAAACAAATATTTGACCTTTACACAAAGTTATCTGCCGAAATGTTTTCTACATAAGATATACAGTAAATGGCTGCCAGATGTCAAATAATTTGTTTACAGATCCCCTAACAGTATATCTAATCTTCTCTAAATGAATGTAAGACATAACTTCTCTTAACCAAWGACCATATACTGGAGGATGTGGATCCTTCCATCAAAGAAGAATAAGTCTTCTAGCCAGTAGTGAGCAGAAAGCTAACACCGTCTGATCTTTAGGTTTTCTTCCACCATGAAATACAGTGATAGCAATTTTTTAAATTTTTTCTGTGTTAAATTAAATAAAAAATCTTCATGCTGCAGTACACCACCTGGACTCTAGCTTTTAATTTATTTTCTAGGAGCTCAATCTGAAA